AAAAAGGTGGGGATACGGGGTATGCTATGCGTGGAGGTAGAGTTATGCCGGGGGAAAACAGCTGCGACGAACGGATGGGCTGGAGTACTGGCTGTGTATCAACAGCGGTATGGCGTAGGGTGTTGTTTACCGAAAATCGTGATTAGGTTAGACGGCATGGGATAGAGCTGTTGGTTGGTTTTCGATACGGCGTAGAGCGATTGTATTGGTGGCTTACTTCTCATTAGCTCGCTGGTTAATTTCCGTGAAGGGGATTTGTACTATTGGCTTTTAACATATAATCCCTTAGTCTACTCTGCCCTTTAGCAGGCTTACGCACGGAAAGGAGGATGAAAGATATGCTGGTCTTGGGCAATGCTGGCCTCTGGCATGCATCTCGCTGCTGATCTTGTATGGACTGGACTCAAGGTGACATTCTCCAAGCTTGTCCTTAGAGCTTTTCGTGCTTAACGATCACCACGTGGACCTACTTCTTTCCTTGAGGATCGGAGAAGCCCTGCAGACTACCTTGTTTTAGGAATTCACAGATGTTGCCTGTTGAATCTGTAGATTGAGCAGCTAAGGTGTCAGATTTATTAATGTATGGCGTTATCCCTTGATGTAAACTTTGATTCTTGTTTTATTCTATTAAATTGTTGGTGTTCCTAAATGTTTATAGTATCCGAGTCAGTGAAACAAACCCCGATGAAGTACAGACTTCATTATGGTGACACTGTGACAGTAAAGTGAGTCTAGTCTGTCTGCAGGCCACAGGGGTGGCGTGTGTCGGGAATGGCTTAATGCTGCGGTTTATTTATTATTTTGCTGCCATCATGCCAGATCTCAGACATGATGTCTGAGAACTGTGAGAAGAGAGTGGTCAGTGGAGAGCAATACCTATTTGTAGGACTGTAGGTTAGTAGGTAGGTAGTATGAAATCTCGCATCTGTAATCATTCTCATCAATCTGAATTCTGATGTAGCTAATTCAGTAATTGTAATGTAGGCCTAGTAAAAATGTACTTTTGTTTGATTGAGAAAAATTGCTATTCACAAACTAGTTATTTCAAAAAGTTTTAACTTACTGCAATAAATAAATAAATTCAGGATGGAATTCTAAAAATGATGGTTCATATATTATTTTTGATCCAGCTAGAGTCTGCTAGACCAGCTTCTTGATCCAATAATATTATTTGAAGAAAACAAAAATAGCTTGTTAAAGGCTTAAAACACATACCTAGGGTAAACGCGGTATATTCCATCACATTAAGGACGCATCGAGAAATGAAAAACTATAAAAAAATAACCGTATGCGTTACTCAAGTTCTGTTTGCTTTAGGTGACTCTCAAAACACCGTAGTACGCGTCGGCAATGATGAAACATTCACAAAATGTTGCCATTTAGAATGCAAACCTACCAAATCCCTATATTCCGTCACTGTGTGTGGCAATATTTGGCACGTGGTGAGGCGTATTCCGTCCGCGCTTCAAATTCTACTGATACGTAATGCTGTCATCCACGTGTTTGAATTCCATTTGCTGTGTGAGCTGTATTGGAATACAACACGGCTTTGAATTAGAACACTAATGAATATTGAACACTACTTAATTACGCTTTTAAATAACAACTATTAAGCTTTTAATTAAGCAAATTTTAATTTTTGTACATAGCTTGAAACGATCTGTGTGTGTCCAATTCAAGTTGCGACGGAATTAGTTTTCATGTGTCTAAATCCATTTCTCAACTTAATCATCTATTAATTTATTTACCACTTGAAATCAGCGAATACAAGTATACCTAAAGGATTCCTAATATATTCACAGACGTAATTAAAAGTCTCAAACCATAATATTCTTCCTATACAAAGTTATTCACTATTTGGTAGAGCAAGGTCAACTGTCAAATTTGACACATTTTTCGATGATCTCACTGGGTAGCGTGCATTGTCTCTCTTTGGATCTCAATATTTTCCTGCTAGATGGCCAAGACCTAGTGTTTTGACATTATTTCGATGCGCAAATGTATGACATCACCATTTCAACCATCAACGAACGCGTGGAACTAAAACAAAGCTTAATATAAAGGAAAAACTAGAGAGGTGACGGAATTACCCACGATGACGGAATATACCGCGTTTACCCTAGTCAGGATGGAATTCTGAAAATTAAGTTATTAAGGTTCATATATTTTTGATCTACCTCCACCAATTTTTTTATCCAAAGATTTTAGTCAAGATAGAAAGCATAAAAATAGGTAGGAGGGAATAAAGTTACACTCGAAAGAATCAAGAATGAAGGCTGCAATACTGAAGAAGTTAGATGTCAAGAATTCAATTTGACCAAATATTAATTCATAAGCAATTCATATCCAAGTCAAACCCAACAAATTAACATTAATGAATTGATAACAAATCACACCACCAATAAGAATTTAACATGATGCACCATGAAACTATTTTGCAGGAGCAAAATCTTGTACGCATTCACTTGCAAAGTTGCACTTGGTGAAAGTCAACAAGCAACTGCCTTCTTTTCAAATTACGGTTTGCAATGCTGATGCCGTCATGCCGCTGCCAAAAGCAGGCTTGGAATATATCTACTTGGCAAGCCAAGACTGAATTTTTGGAGCCATTGTTTTATGGATTTGCCAGCCATGATTCCATTTCTTCAAGCTGTGATTTAGGCCTAATTTCTTTGAGCTGTGAATTCCGTATCTCAGCCATTTTAAGCCATTTGCAAGCCGGCAGCTGCGAACTTTTTACTAAGTCCTGTGCACGTCACACCACGTGTTATCCCTAATCTCTAATTTTACCCTAAAAAAGTCAACACTAACATTCGTCTTCACTGTTCACTTGGGTGGCAACTGATCAAGTGATAAGGCAGTCTGACTGCTCTGACATGACCACAATTATGCAATCTATAACTATAAGGAAACATTTAGGTTGACTTGTTTTTAGTTTTGCTGTGCACGTGCAGGATATTTTGTTGGGATCGTTGAAATAGTGCAGATGCAGAAGTTGGGAATTTTTAAGGGAATGACATGTTTGCTGAGTGAAAACTGTGACTTTTTTCAATCAAACAAAAATACATGACACTAGAGCTGCAAGATTTCATACCTACTAAAATTATATGATATTAATGGACTAGTGACCGTCGCCTGCGGACTAGCGACCGACGGACTAGCGACCGTCGCCTGCAGCGTGAATCTGACCAGGCTCGACATTGGCACCCAACCCACCACCTTTGAGCTGCTGTGTGTCATGGTCGCTTGCGGCTCGTTCACGTGTGTTGCTGTCATCTATCGTCCCAGATCAGTTGCTGTCACACGTGATTTTTTCGTTGAATTAAGCGATGCTTTAACTAGACTTGTGACCCTCACTGATCACGTTTTTATCACTGGCAATTTTAATGTTCGACTGGATCGTGCCGACAACCAATGGGCGCATCAGCTGAATGATCTGCTGTCTGCCTTTGGCATGGTCTGTCATGTTAACTTACCAACCCATGACCTCGGCAGGTTGCTGGATGTTGTCATCACACGTACCGACATTCAGTTACTGCCCGTTGACATCATCGATATTGCAATATCTGACCGACTACTCCAGTGGATGGTGCCATGTGTTACAGAGCCGTCACCTGTCGCCTGTGGCGCGATCTTGACAGCAATGTTTTGAGCAGGAGACTAAAGTTGTCCCAACTTGGTTGGCCTGACTCATGGTCGGAGCTGTCGGTGGATGATCTTGGCTCTTGCAAAACTCTACGATATCGAATTGACATCTTTGCTTGACGAGCTCATTCCTGCACGAACTGTTCATGTCCCCCAGCAAGCCTCCGACCCGTGGTTTGACAATGAATGTCGCGCTTCGAAGTGTCGTGTTTGGCTGCTCCAGCGGGCTGTCCATCGCGCGAGCAGACGTAATGATCCTGCTGTTGGGGCTGAAGCGACGTCCAACTGGCAGGATGCGCGGCGCGCCCATGTCAACCTTCTTAGATCCAAGAGGGAGTCATTCTGGCGTCTAAGAGTTGACGCACAGAGCGGCGACCCTTGGGCGCTGTGGTGTTCGCTGGATAGGCTCATGGGGTGGGCTCGTGCGGATGCCTCGGGCGACGTGAGCGTGGAAGGATTCCATGCATTCTTTGAAAACAAAACTTCAGCTGTGCGCGCATCATCGGCCGATGCTCCCGCGGCAACCTTTACGCCGTGCCCTTGCAACTGTGTGCTACGCAAGTTCACCTGCGTCACATCGGATGAGGTCACCACTGCAGTACGCGCGCTGCCCAACAAGCAGTGCGCCAGCGACCTGTTGCTGTCACATCTACTCAGGGAGAATGTTGCCAGCCTAGCACCTTTTATGGTTGAGCTGTTCAACCGCTCCCTTGCTGACGGCGTAGTCCCTGGGAACTTCAAATCCGCTTACATCATGCCGCTTCTCAAAAAGCCGGACCTTGACACCTCAGACCCAAATTCGTATCGACCCATCTCCAACCTGTCGATTTTATCGAAACTTCTCGAGCGCGTTGTGGCCCGGCAGCTAAATAACTACCTACATAAGTCAGGTCTCATGCCTCGCCTCCAGTCTGCGTACCGTCGTCACCACTCGACAAAGACCGCCATGCTGAAGGTTCTTTCGGAAATTCTGCAGGCGGTTGACTGCGGCAACATTACGGCGCTGGCTTTACTCGATCTTTCCGCTGCATTTGACACAGTCGACCATGCCACCTTGTTGCGTCGGCTGGACATATCGTATGGCCTGCGCAGTACGGTGCTGCGGTGGTTCGAGTCCTCAACCATTCGACTATAGACTCCAATGTGTTCGTCGCGGGCTCTCCTCTTCTACACCATCGACGGTCACCTGTGGCATACTGCAGGGCTCAGTCCTTGGCCCAATACTCTTCCTGCTATATACTGCTAACGTGTTGCACAGAATTGATTCACACAGCTTGAATTCGCACAAGTTTGCTGACGACACCCAAATCTATGGCTACTGTGCGCCAGCGGATGCTGCAGCGCTGCAAGACCAGATGTCTGCCTGCATGGACGCCATTTCAGACTGGATGCGTTCAAACCGGCTCCGGCTCAATGCATTGAAAACTGAATTTATTTGGTTCACGACCGCTCGTCGCCAACATCAGCTTCCAGCATACCTTGTGCAAGTGGGCGACGAGTTCGTCGCACCTGCATCCTCTGTACGCAGCCTCGGCATTCAGCTGGACTCAGAACAATCTATGAACAACCACATTGCCAAAGTAACCGCTGCTTGTTTTGGCATCCTGCGGCAAATTTGTAGCGTCAGTCACTGTCTCCCAAGGCCAGTCCTCAAGGCCCTCATGGTGGCGCTTGTGCTGACCAGACTGGACTATGGCAATGCCACACTCTACGGACTTCCCAGCACGGCACTTAACAAACTGCAATTCGTAATGAACGCTGCAGTGTGACTCGTTTGTGCCCAGCGGAAATTTGACCACGTGACACCAATTTTGCGTGACCTTCAATGGATGCGCATCCAGCAGCGCACACAGTTTGAAGTCCCTGTTCTGATGTTCGGCTGCCTCCATGGTTTAGCACCACCTTATCTTGCTGGAGGCCTATGGCGCGTGTTGGATCTGCCTTCTAGAAGGCGACTGCGTTCCCCATCGAAGGCTGACCTCATCGTCCCGTCCTCACGTCTGTCCACCGTCGGTGACAGAGTGTTCCTGGTCGCTGTGGCCAGAACATGGAATAGTCTGCCAGCATCAGTGACATCTGCTTCTTTGCTGCCATTGTTTCGTCGACGCCTAAAAACAGAACATTTCCGTAGAGCCTTTGAATCTTAGACCTAGCTGTCATCTAATCTATCATGGATATTACTGGTTTAGCTTAGGTCTTGTTTGTTCTAGCATAGACGTCGTCAGTCTTGGCATATGTCCTTTGTTGTAGCATAGATGTCATCTGTTTTTATCCTCTCGTGTCTTTTTTAGCCACTTGTAACATGCCCTCGAAGTTCAATCTGAACGAGACACCGCGACAATCTCTTCGTGGAATAATAATAATAGAGCTGCAATATTTAAGAAAAAAATAGGACTTCTCTGAAATATTGATTGACTTGATTATGTATTGAAATAAGCCACTGACAATTTACTCAAGCGCAGAGGTTATTAGGCTCTACAACACAAGGGTGCAAAGTCAGTTGGAAAAAGAATGACTTTGCAAACTCAGTTTCAAACTCAGTTGGGAATGGTCATAACTGCATCAGATGGATGTAGATTCCCAACTGGCTTCACAACTGAGTTTGCAGCTCTTTATTGGCTTTTCATGGCCTGGGTGTTGTTTTCATTCATGGCTTAAAGAAATAGAATCAAGGTTTGGGAATCCATAAAATCATGGCCCAAGAAATCCAGTTGTGGTTCAGTGAGTACTGTAGATTTTTTCCTCACTTGGTTATAAGTTATGATAAAAGCCTTAATATTAAATATGAGTAAATTATGCCAAAAAGTAGAATGAGAAATGGCCTTCCTAGTGAATAGACTATTTTATACAAAGTGGTTTTTATGTCTATATGGTAATTATTTAAGAAATGCCTTGTATGTATATTTGACTGCTGTTGGTCAGTGAGGGGCAAACAACTTTGCAAAGTTTGGCTATTGTGTTATCATGATCAGGTTGTTAGGTCTAAATTATTATAATTCATATTGCAGATGCGTCACCAAATCTATCTAAACCATTAGGATTTCATAAAAAGTGTATGTGAAGAGCTATTTAAAGAGAAATTTATCTGCAAGGGTCTTCTTAAGACCAAGATTTTGATGCTGATGTGCTGCCAAAGATCTTTAAATATTTGCTCACTTTTTCTCACACCCTGATTGACAAGTGTATAATAAATAATCAATTTTTGTTCCCAGGCATTTGCCAGGATGGCTGATAGAGCAGGAACAAACCTGCTTATTTTAGCAGCCCTAGCAGGATGTTTAGTCGTGTTTGATTTTTTACCCTCTGCTTCAAGTGTCAAAGAGCCTCCAGCCATGAAAATGACTAAAATTATGGGACCATCTCTTCGGTTTCTTTACTGGTGAGTGCTTTGAAGTTAAAATTTAATATTTTAAATGCAAGCTGTTTGTTATAATAATGAAAATTTCTGCAGTAAATGAAAAATAATTTGTCACTTTTTAATGTCTAATAGGAAAAGAATGTGATTGTATTGAACGGCATAAAATGCCATGACGATTTATGCTCCTTTTTCTTGGATTTCTGTGTAAAAAATTAGTTGACGGTACTGAAAAGATTTCAAGACTATCAAGTATTCACCTATCCATGCAGCCTGATTACCTGCATTGGTTGGAATTAACAAGTTAATTTAATTTTTTCAAGTCTTAAGAGTGAAATTGTGGACAATTTCTACAAACAAATTATGTTTGTAGAGGTAATAATAATGTACAAAAAATATTCATTTGCATATTTTGTGGGTTTATGTGTTGTGAAGAGTCAAGAGTGAATTATTTGATAACATTTTGCATTGAAATAAGTAAGAATATATTGGGTGGTACTGTTCTAATCAGCTTCACCTAAAATTCAGCCTTTGCATGAATTTCTTATATTCATTGTTTAATTTTGAGACATGAATAATCATATTTGATCCTCAGGCTTTTGGATAATTAAGTTCACATGTGTGTAAAAGAGTGTAATTTCTTTAATTCAAGCTGTGATTGTGATTTGCTCATTGTCAATATTGTAACTACAGAATTATCCCAGTAAGAGTGATTTATGCATTTTCACTTAAAGTTAAATCCTACTTTTAGTGTTCTGTAGCTTTTATACTATTTGAATTAGAAAAATATGAGTAATCAAACTAGACTCTTGAGGGAGTCAACAATCATGGATTTGATATTTTCAAAATTATAATTTTTTTTGGTGATATCAGCAGTAACCAAAAGCAGACTCTTGTAGTTGTTGCTCATATGTTGTCATGTTCTGCAGCAGATATTTGTTTTTCAGTTACTCGTGAGGATATCAAAAGGTGTTCCAGCAGTATGCCACCATGCTGCAGGACAAATACCCTCACATCTCCATCATGGGGGACAACTACCCACCCCCTACCTGGAGACAATATATTGCTCAGATACTTGTAAGCTTTCAGTTTCAAAGTTTGGGAAATATCGTAGGTGCATCTATATTTATAATAGTAATTACTGATAAACAATCACCTTCAGTGGAGAGAAAAATTAAGTTTTTGCCTTGTGTGAACAGGAGAGAGAATTAGAGGTTTTGATGTTTGATAACCCATGTTGTGTTCCCATAGGAGAAGCTTGTTTCAAGCTTGTAATTAATGCTCTCTTCTTGACTTCCAGAGTTTAGCCAAAATTCTCCTCGTCATCTGTGTAGTCTCAAACATCAATATTTTCCAACACCTTGGCCTGCCAACACCAGCATACTGGACATGGCTGTCAAGCAACAAAATTTATGGCTGCCTCATGATTTTCTTCTTATCAAATGCTATTGAGGGTCAACTCATCTCTACTGGGGCATTTGAAATTCAGTTTAATGGTTTGTCTCAGTTACTTTGAATGTATATTATTTAAATGATGATTAATCACCAAGTTCTTATGAATATTTTAATACGTATGTTCTTTTCTTGTTTACATATATATATCTGAATTTTTATATAACCTGAAGTATTACATGATTTTAACACTATCTGCTCATGTTTATCAGCATGGGTGAGGTTAATTAGCCCTTTGAGTAGATAAAAATATTTTAAGATAGGTATAATTTTTGATGACTCTTGACTGCCAGCAGTTGATACCTCAAATGCGTTTCATTACCAATTAGCAACAATGTTGCAGATGTGCCTGTGTGGTCCAAGTTGGAGACTGGTCGGATCCCTCAGCCTCCAGAACTGTTTCAGATCATCGATAATCACATCAGACTGGACCAAAACCCCAGCTGGAGTGACAGCATATAAAATGACTATGTGAGTTACCATTACTTTTTAAACTAAAGCCTTTCATTTTAATACAAAACTTCTGCTTGTTCAACTTGTCATAGTATTCAAGTTTCATAAACGAGTGTCAGTTAAATTGGAAAACACTATTGATAGCAACTGAATATTGTGAGCTTTTAATTACTAGTAGAGTAGAAATAAGTGAAAGGTATTTAAAAATACTGTTTGAGTATTCTGTTTTTGAGTATTGAGTATAAAGTTTGGGTATAAAAGTAAGTATTTACTCAATACTCAATATTGAGGACTGAGTAAAAGTTTGAGTATAAAAATACTGTTTGAGTATTGAGTTGTTAATGTATTTTAGTTGTGCTCTTTCAAGTGTGCTACCAAGTACGTATCTGATAATAATAATATACGTTTAAAAATTGCTTTTTAAAGACAACACTTCCAAAGAATCCAGTATCTCCAATCTTACAGATGTACAATGAATTTCTCATCTAATTTTCAAAAAATAAAAAATTTATTTTTCAGTTTTTTTAATGTATATAATTTTTTTTAATATATAAATTTTTTTCAAAATTATTTATTCTGTTAATTGATTCATGCATTGCCTCTGACTTCACACAAGTGTGCAAAATTTCAGATCAATTAGACAGGTAAAAGTGTGTCAAATATCAGTTATAAGATTTGTAGCTGACAAAATTATTTTTTCAATTTTTTTGATATTGAAAAAAAAAAAATTTTAAATTTTAAAAATCATTTATTTTGACATTTGATTCATGCATTGTCTCCAACTTTAAACAAGTGTGCAAAATTTCAGATCGATAGGATAAGTAGAAGTGTATTAAATTTTGATTACAAGATTTGTAGCAGACAGACAGACAGACAGAAAGACAGACAGACAGACAGACAAACAAGAAGTGAAGTTAAAGAGAAGTGTTGTAAAAAGTATCATTGCATTAAGTATAGAAATACTTTTATTTAAACACTAATGTGTGGTGTTAACATGTTGTGCATGCTTATTTAATTCAATGAAATGGTAAAGAATGCTATTGTTCAGTTGACAAAGGGGTAAAGAAAGCTATTTTTTAGGTGAGAAATGGGTAAAAAGGGATAATAATTAGTTGACAGATGGGTAAGGTAGGATATTTTTCAGTTGATAACTAGGTAAAGAACGTTGTTTTTCACAGGGCAAATGTTAAAGAGTAGTATTTTCCAAGTGACATGTAGGTAAATAATGGTATCCCTGGTAGTTGACGGGTAAAGAATTCTATTGTTCATGTAGCAGATGTGTGTAGAATGCTATTTTTCAGATGACAAAAGTGTAAAGAATTCTATTTATCAGGTGACAAATGTGTAAAGAATCTATTTCTCAGATGACAAAAGCGTAAAGAATTCTATTTATCAGGTGACAAATGTGTAAAGAATTCTATTTTTCAGAAGACAAAAGTGTAAAGAATGCTATTTTTCAGGTGATTGAAGCTTCGCTCGTGCAAGGTGCTCGACCAGTCGACGGCGTGGCAGCTTCCTCTCCTCTACACATGACGGCCTCCACACAAAGCCCTGCTGCTGGTGGAGGCTCGAACTCTCGGGTAGTTGAGGAGCTGGAGCTGCCTGCCTTCGTTGTGGTCGAGATCCTTATAAGTTGGGCGTTTGTTTTGCAAGTGACTTATGTTGTCTGTTCAATTCCATTGTTGCTAAATTTGGAAATTACTCTTGGGAGGTCTTGTTTCTTTATATGTGTTTGAATAGACTATGGTTCTGTATATCCACCTCAAAGGGTTGTATGTACTCGTATAAAAATTTGCTGCTTATTTTATTCGTAGATTGTTGCACCCTTAAAGTTGCAAGGCTTAAATTGACTCGTTTACTTTTTTGAATTATTACTGCTATGCTTTAATTTTCACACAACTATATTGGTGACTCGTTTGTCTGCTGTCGACTATATAATCAGCTTTGCATTTCTTATAACATCAGTATCATAGCTTGGCAACCAAACAGTTAGTAGGCTTGACTTGAATTTATTTACATTTGCACCAGTTTGGAAACTAAAATTATTTTCTCACTCATTGAGAAAGCTCAGTCGTATGTCACATGTTTGCAGGAGTGCTTTTATCAATTTATGAATTTATTGATGGGTTATGTATGCATTATACGGTGTGTGGCGCATTGGAACACATTCTCTCGTGAGATAATTGTGTGATATTCTAGTTCATTTAGAACATAGACGATGTGTTTCAACGGCAAACAAGACAGCATTGAGGCGACAGTAGTATTTTTTGGGGCTGATGATTACGGCGTTCAGGAGACTTCACTATTTTTTAAGACCTGAATTAACACCGGTAAAACTGAAAGTTATTTTCTAAAGATAAAAATGATTGTATCCTTTCATATTATTCGAAAACGTCACATTATCTACTTCTTTGGGCTGCTAGTTTTGTTTATGACTTTAATCATTGCATATTCACCTAAAGATTTATTTGTTTTATCTCTTTCCACATGCATTCTGCTCTTCTCAAGTTTGCTGCCACATACTCGAATGATTTTCATTTATATTTCCCTAAAAAAACGGTTCGGTGTTGTTTACTTAGCCCAATTAGTCAAATTTACAGGCTAATCTCGATTAAAATAAAATCAGGCTTCAGCGTAACACCGTCCATTTGTAAAGCATATGTTTGATTGTTGTGTTTTAATCGCATTTGGTCATGGTACAAGTTATCGTAGCGTTCTTCTCCTAATTGTACATTATTGTCGTTATACTTGGCTCTGGAGAACATTTACTCTCATGTTTTTAATCAGTAAGTATAGTTTTAACCTCTGCATCAGTTTTAACCTCTCCCATCCTCTGCATGCTACGTATTACCCATGAAAAAATTCTGACATTACGTTGCACATGAAGTATATTATACCGTACGAGTGTTATTCTGACCATTATATTATCAACTGTGCTAGCGAAATATTCTGATTGACCTTATCGTTTGTGCAATAATTTGACTGAAAATCGTTATAAATCCTGTAAATGAATTTTTTGTAACATATGTACAGAGAACCATATTTCCTGCTGACATTTTGTGTATAATTTTAACTTTTCAACCAGGTCTCTTCAGCTTGCATTTAATTAGCGACCGAATAGTTTATCGCAGATTATTTCTATTCAATACGTTTCAAAATTCAAGAGAAAGAGCCTCTATTAAATGTTTTACATTCCCCGTGATTATCTGTTGTGTGATGTGTATTGTAGTCACTTATCTTTGTGGTAGTTATTCAAGGAGACTGTGATGTTCGAAAGGTCTTTCAATTACCCGCACATTTATTCATCGCCAAAGACTATGCTGCACATTTACGAATGAGACCAGAGCCAAGTCGACTTTTAGACGTTCATAATACCGTTTAAATTGTCTCATGTTATTCGGCAATATTACGGATTGTATCGTGGGACGATGGTATATTGCTGTTGTTAATGATTTGATGAAAAAGTGAAGGGCAAGGATTACTCTACGATAGATAATTGACTGATTTTTCGAAGAAAAAAAAAATGCAGTTAAATAGTGGTAATATCTTCATAAGACCTCCCTCACACAGACTGCACTCTTCGTCTCTTGGTCATCTTGTTAGCAAAGGTTAGTGGTTATGATTGTCCCTACTTCTGCTCAAAACACAGCATGCTTCTGAATAAAAACTTCAGGGAGGCTTTCTGCCCATGTTCCTGATTTGTTCTTCAGAAGCTCTCGTGAAATTCTTTGTCTGCATGGGCATTATTCCCCCAGTAGTTGTATGTTGTGGGTTTACGTTAGTGCTGCAGAAAGGTACGAATGCAATTAAGCAGGAGCAGGACAGTTGAAAAAAGAATAGTGCGTCTTCTTCACTTGACCATGCATAAATTAGGCAATTCAAACCCTATCTTGGAATAATATTCAACAATACATAAATCTTAACAGATCGTTTTAAAAACGACGCGGAGTATAGTTTTATTGCATCACTATTTTTTAAAATCTTGTATCATCAATCGGCAAATAATCATTTCCTTGAGATCGAGTTGTTGCAACTATACATGAAAGGTGCTCAATAATGTTTTAATGACTTCATGTGGAATGATATATAAAATAGATATGGGAAGTAGTCTTGTGAAGGAGCAGCTTGCCGATAATGTTTTTCCACGCAGGAGCCATAATATATTATACTGTTTTAGAGCAGAGCAATAATTTGTCTTGCTGCTCGTCTGCAAAATACATTGTACTAACTCGAGCTTAGAACATATGAAATATAAGAGCAACAGTAAGATTAACCTACCCAGGTCAGGGTGGTCCAGTGGTTACAGTTCAGAGTACCTAGATTGGAGCAGAGAGGCGCGGGTTCGATCCCAGCTCTGTGCCACAGACTGTGCGCCAGTTTCTGGTCAGAATCGGCGAAGAGGCCGGGCGGTTAAGCAAAGTCCAAAGCAGAAATGTAGCAGTGAGTTGCGAGTTCAAGACCGCAACAAGCTGTGAATGTTCTGAGATGTCAAGAATTGGCGACAGGCCTACGGCCTAATAAACGCTGAAACCGCTATTATTTATTATTATTTACCCGCAGAGCCACATTAAGATTAACCGTCTGTATTGTTGACACGCAGGTAATACGCCCTCCGATGGAGCTAGCAGAAAGATTATCATCAATTTATTCATTTCCCAGTGATTAACAGGTCTAAATTATTTTATCTTCAATTTAAACGACCTTAATTTGAAATTTATTAGGATTGCATTTTTTCCGTGAAAGAGCTGTTCGTTGTGCGATGAACCTTGAATTGCACATTAAGTTGTCAACCGTTTTGAGATGCTATCGTGCAATATATAGAAGTATTTTTTTCGTTGCGTATCCACAATACCGAACTATTTAAAGCCTGATCCCAAAATATTGGCGAAATTCTTTATTATGGCGATTTTATTCTCGAAAATTCGACTAGAAGAAAATGCCTGCGAGGACCCTTGTGATTGGACCCATTGCTTGGACTGTTTGTTGGTGTTCGAGTCAGGGTACGCAGCCGTGCACCCCCAAATTTGTGCACCAACCAGCCTTGAAAGGAACGCCTAGCATATTTCCGGATAACCACCAATCAGCCGCGGATTGAGCCATCCGTCGCCGTCGGTAACCAACCCGTGACATCATCTTGCTTCAAAGCCTAATTAATCCATCTCTTTCTCTCTTTACAATTTACTGCCACACTGGCTGGTGGAAGTGCTAAAATTAAATAAAAACTAAAGTAGAACCAACAAGTGAAGTGACCAAAATCCCAGTTGTGCTCAGGCTGGGAGGTGTGCTACCAGCATACCCGAAGCCTTCAAATCAAATTAAAAAAAAAAAAATCATCTTGCTTTAAATATTAGGAGCTTTACCCCACCGTATTCTGAAGCGAATAGCCCAGGGCCCCAGAGAGTAATGGTTGTCCACCACTGAACGCTGCATCGAATCATGACTTCATACCCTGACTTTGGCAGTATAGCTTGAATTGTAACTTGCGGACAACGGACTGCGACCAACCAGTCCAGGACTCCAGGTCGCCAGTGGAGGTGCGCAGCCGTAGACCAGCAAATTAACGCTCAAATCAGCCCTGGAGCCAACATCAACCATCTAAATAATAGCGGTTTCAGCGTTTATTAGGCCGTAGGCCACTAGGCCTGTTGCCAATTTTTAACATCGCAGAACATTCACTGATTCACATCATTTTGAGGTCTCGAACTCGCAACGCACGGCTACAAATAATCTACAAACTACAATTCTGCTGTGCCTAACCGCTCGGCCTCCTTGCTGATTCTGACCAGAAACTGTCGCACAGTCTCGGCACAGAACCACTGGGCGGGATGCATGCCATGATGCCAGAGGCCAGCATTGCCCAAGACCAGCATATCTTTCATCCTCCTTTCTGCGCGTTACAGCAGCGCGTAAGCCTGCTAAAGGGCAGAGTAGACTAAGGGATTATATGTTAAAAGCCAATAGTACAAATCCCCTTCATGGAAATTAACCAGCGAGCTAATGAGAAGTAAGCCACCATTCACCAATACAATTGCTCTACGCCGTATTGAAAACCGTCCAAGTGACGGTCCAACAGCTCTATCCCATGCTGTCTAACGCCATAGTGGCAAAGCAGAGAGTTTTTTAGACTCTCCCTCAAGTTCATTTTTGAGTCCTATATGTAGACCAGTAAAGTATCCTGGATACCTGCATTATCATACATATGAAAGTATAATGAAACTGGTTTAAATCATGAGTAAATGAGGAAATTAAAAATGAACTGATTCTTAAAAATCTGTGGTTTGTCACTATGGTCTAACCTAATCACAATTTTCGGTTAAATTTGGTAAGCAACTCCCTACGCCATACCACTGTTGATACACAGCCAGCACTCCAGCCCCTCCGTTTGTCGCAGCTGTTTTCCCTCCACGCATTACGCATACCCCATCTCCCCACCTTTTTTCACTGACTGCCGGACGGCTTTTATTAGTTTCTGCTTACTTGACTGCATTACGCTATGAAAAGATGATCTATAGGAGTTGTAAACTAACCTAACTTAACCTAACCTAATTTGGATAAGCATCAAAGGTCTGCAAGAAAAGCCTCCAGTTAGTCATGCGATAATGCCATAATGGTGGAGAGTCAGGGTAAGTGTGGGGGGAAGAAGATCTGGGGGATAGTAAGGCAGGGAAACAGTGACGCGGGGTTAACGTCTTGCGGATTAAGTAAGGTGATGACGCATTACCATTTGGTACAGTTCACATTTGCGACAATGCAGTGTGGACATCGGACACTTAGGATAACAGCATGTGTAAGAAGTGATGGTATGGGTTATAAAGCATTGGAGAACAATGTATTGACTGTTAAGTATGTGGACTGTGGAGTAGCAGCTTGTGTGCTAAAGCAGTGTTGGTTTAAAATTCGTGTGGTGAGATAGGTCAATTGACTACAGCTGTTTAGGTGCCAGGATGACAATATCTATAGCATTTAGATGGTTGATGTTGGCTCCAGGGCTGATATGAGCTTTAATTTGCTGGTTTACGGCTGCGCACCCCCACTGGGCCACCACGTATCCGAATCAGGTTAGGTTACAACTCGTATAGATCCTCATTTCATAGCATAATGCAGTCAAGTGAGCAGAAACTAAGAAAAGCCGTCCGGCAGTTGGTGAAAAAAGGTGGGGAGACGGGGTAACTTGGTAAGCATGGAGCGGTGGAGGTAGAGTTTTGCTGGGGAAAAAATGCTGCGACAAACAGATGGGCTGGACCCTGGAGTGCTGGCTGTGTATCAACAGCGGTACGGTATGGCGTAGGGAGTTGCTTGCCGAAAATCGTGAGGTTAGATGGCATAGTGACAAACCAGAGATTTTTTGGAATTGGTTCATTTTTAATTCCTCATTTACCCAAGATTTAAACTAATTTCTTATGTATGATGATGCTGGTATCCAGGATACTTTACTGGTCTACTTATAGGACTCAAAACTGAACTTGAGGGAGAGTCTAAAAAACTCTCTGCTTTGCCACTATGTTAGACGGCATGGGATAGAGATGTTGGGCGATTTTAAATACGGCGTGGAGCAATTGTATTGGTGGCTTACTTCTCAGTTCTCATTAGCTTGCTGGTTAATTTCCATGAAGGGGATTTGAACCTTTGGCTTTTAACATATAATCCCTTAGTCTACTCTGCCCTTTAGCAGGCTTACGGACGGAAAGGAGGATGAAAGATATGCTGGTCTTGGGCAATGCTAGCTTCTGGTATGCATGATGCGTCCCATCAGAAAAGTCAGCTGGGTTATCTAGTATGCCACTCATAGTGGCAAAGCAGAGAGTTTTTTAGACTCTTCCTCAAGTTCATTTTTGAGTCCTATAAGTAGACCAGTAAAGTATCATGGATACAAGAATTATCATACAAAACAAATTTGTTCAAATCTTGAGTAAATGAGGAAATTAAAAGTGAACCAATTCTAAAAAATCACTGGTTTGCCACTATGATGCCACTGCTCTCTATGCTGTGTGGTCCCACTTTCCTTTCCCAACTGAATGTTATAAAAAAACAACTGCCTCACTCAGATCTCAGAATAGCCTTAGGCTGTAGAAAAATTAAACCAGTGTCATCAAAGGAAATAGAAGCAAACATTTCTTCATTGGCCAATCATAGGAGTGAGATAGTTTGTAAATATTAATCCAACTTTTTCAGCTGCCTATGCTATGTTCAGTATGTTGCCTGTAACCCTGTTAGGCTGTTGTAGTACTAGAATTATTCCACAACAATCACCCTTAGCCTTAGGCACCTTAATGTGGAACACATTACATTATTTCTTTTGTACCTAATGCCAAATCCATTTTCTCATTGCTCTGACTTGCTCACAAGTCACAGCCTCACATCTTCTCTGACATCTCCACTGCCAGCATGGTTATAGGTTTAACACCAACAAATATCTGCTAATGAACTTCTCCATTTCTTCAGTATCATCTACCACTGTGCAGGCTGCTCAACAAATTTATTAGCTAAGACCTGGTGCACTCCAAATATTCTTATCACACTGCTGCTTTCACAGATGGATCACTCATCCTTCAACCAGTCTTTTCAATGTCTGCTGCAATCTGCATTCCATGTCCCTTGCAGAGTTGCAGTTGCAGAGGCTGCAAGGCATTTTACTTGACTGAAAGCTTTGGCCTGAGGTAGAGATAATATAGTTGGAGCTGTTTGCAATACATGAGCCTGATGATGAGGCTCTTGACTGGTCACTAACAAATCGTCTCCCTGCTGAAAAACTTGTTATCTTTACTGATTCCTAATCATACAATGATACATTTTATGGATCAAAAATAGAAGACCAGATAGCTACTTGCATCTAATTATTGAATTCCAAACCAAACTTATGTCACTACTATCCTGTCATGAAATATTCCTGCAGGTTTTTCTTTAAATATTTTCTAAATCAACTGAGTAATTGGGTCCAAAAATCAGGGTTGGCAGTGATTAAATCAAAATGATTGAATCATGTGATTAAATCACTTGATTTTTTTATAAAAAAATCATGATTTTTTCGATTTTTTTGATTTTTTTGATTTTTTCATATATTTAAATATATTGAGTGGCAGTCTTTAATTTATATTGAGGTATTGTTATTCATGGTTTAGTATAAATGTACTATAAATGACAAATTGGTATATAAACTTGTTGCCTTTAGTGTGTATTAGGTCTGTCTCTTATACACATCTAGATGTGTATAAGAGACAGGTTCTGCCCCACCCTGTATAAGCTAGCTAACACATTTAAATTGTATATTGTAATCAATATATAACAAATAGTCAAATAGTTAAAGACTACTTATAGCCTTATAAGAATTAGCTAAGCTGCTAGCTATGTACAATGTATTGCCTGTCTCTTATACACATCTAGATGTGTATAAGAGACAGACCTTGGCCTGTTGGCCAATATTGAAGGCAATAAGTGCCCTTTTTAGCCATCCCTTATGATCCATATACTGTTATTGTTAGTGGGCTAATTGCAACATAAAAAAGAACACTTCAAAAAGACAAAAAAGTTGAAAAAATCAAAAAAATCAAATAAATAAAAAAAATCATGAAAAAATCAAAAAAATCATTGATTTTTGATTTTTTTGATTTTTTTAAAAAAATCAAAAAAATCGCCAACCCTGCCAAAAATACAGTTTTACATCATTGACCATTTTGTGGGCAAGTTAGCATTTAACGTTGCTTTGGAATCTCATAAATAGACCCACCAGATCCCAGTTTGAGTATGCTGCTGTGGAAGTTTTGGGAGGATATTCTCAACTCGTGCCTCATTACAATTAACTAAGAATTTAAAAGCAAAGAAAAGTCCACAAAAATTCATATCTTTATAGAAAACGTTTCGGAGACCAGCTCCATCGTCAGTTCGTAGAATCTAGAATCACAAATCAGAAGTCACAAATTAATACATTGAAAGCACAGAACAAAATTAAAAACCTAAATTTACAAGTAATAGACGGAGCAAAAAAAAAAAACTATCTATTAACAATTTCAAGAGGATAGGAGCTAGCAGCTGAATTCAAACTGGGCCTAAGTTTAAAGATGTACAGCGATTCTAAAATGCGCAAATCGGAAGTCCCGGAGGTGGAAGCTAACACCCTAAAGTCACTGTCAGAAACGGGGACATCACACTGCTCGGCGTGAGCGCGCACAGCCGAATGAGGGGGGCGCGATAGCAACTGTCCGGTTCTACAACTCCTGCCCTTATGCTCAGAGACCCTGGAATAAAGATTACGTGACGTCATCCCGACGTACGCAGATGCACATCGTGCACAACAATATTTATAAACCAGGGACGATCGCATATGAACAGGGAGCATATCTTTATATCTAAAGAAAGAACCGATTGTGAAATTGTTTACCAGCACAATATGAAGATTGACACTTGGGAAGTATCTATTGAACAAGACTTTTAATTCTTTTGACATAGCTTCGGACGCAGGGCCGAAGTATGGAAAAGAACAATAAATAACTTTCCTACTATCGCGCTCAGGAGCAACCTCACAGTATCGCTTCGACATGAATTTCTTGATTTGGGTAAACAACACCCTTGGGGGGCAAGGGTGTTGTTCTGGTGGATCGTAGTCGCTACAACAGTAGCCTAAATGCACTCCTCACCGATTCTTCCAAATTTGTTGAAATTGCAGATCAGATCTCTAAAACCATTTTGAAAATCGAAGACAAAATCAATAATTTATTGCGTAAACTTAAAGATTCTTCTGCTCTTTCACCTGAAACTTATACTAAACTTTATACATCTGGTTCTTGCCCCGGTATTTTATATGGCTTACCTAAAATTCACAAGCCTGATTTTGCCTCTAAGTTTCAATTTCGACCAATTTTTGCCGCGTATAATACTCCTAGTTTTAAACTTGCTAAATTTCTGGTACCAGTTTTAAACTGTCTTACGACTAAATATACGAACTGACGATGGAGCTGGTCTCCGAAACGTTTTCTATAAAGATATGAATTTTTGTGGACTTTTCTTTGCTTTTAAATTCTTAGTTAATTTGCGATTTAAGCAAACAAGTGATATATATTCATTACAATTATTTATGCCAGAAAGAGTGATCAGCTGACTGAGCTTATTTGGCTTCTGCTTGCTAGTGTTAGAATAGTAGCTATTTTGGGATGTTGTCTTATGGTGTGTTACATCTTTTGACATCAGGCTAAAAAAAAACCAAAGTTGTAGGTGCTAATTTAGAAGGAACCTTGAATGCCACTTGGTTTTCTTGGCTCCATCTGAAATGTTTCAAGTTCACCTAAATGATATTTTTTCAGTTTCTTCGTGTCATTTGTAACTTTAACTAGCCCATTATGCTGAATGAAGAAGAATTCGACTCTGACAGCACAGATGAAGACTACATTCCTACAGTAGGTAAATTTAATGGCCATAGCCTACTTTCCTAGCATTACTTAATATGCAGTCTTTAAATAGTTGATTTGCTCCATTGGCATTTTCTTGCTGTATCTTGCTACAATTTCTACAATTAATCCCCAAAATTGAAGTTTATTTTCTGATGAGCTGAAACATAAACTTGACAAAAATTTTAAAATTTAATTTTAAGCTCTGGATAGATATTGGGATTATTGGCTGCTCCTTGTTGGAGGCCCTAGGCTTGTTGGGGTTTTTCATCTTCTCTGTATTGTGGAGACCCTCTATGGGTATCCTTTTTCTGAGAATACCGGTATGACAATTGATAAATTGTCATTCATGGACATTGATTTGATATTGTCTTAACGATTCATGAATTTCTCTCCCTATCTAACAATAAACAATTGGTGATTGGCTGAGTGTCTTCTAAGTCTTCTTCCCATTATCCTTATTATACATATATACCTACATTTTCTATTGAATATCTACTTTCCTAATGGTATCTAATTTGTTTGTATATTATAAAAATGTGAAATTTGTTGAAAAAAATGCTCATCAAATCTGTAATTTTTGGAGAGTGGCAAGTCCTCCTCTCTCTTGTTGAATGGTTAAAATTAGTCTATGAAAAGTTGATTTATTTGCTGTTATATAAGCCAATCTATAAGCCAAGTTTTTGCTTCTAATATTAGTAATGAGGCATTTCCTTACTTATTTAAATTCTACAGTTTTCTATAATTGTCCATTAATTCATTTATTTCTTTCACAGCCAAAGGGAGTGATGATGACCTGTCATCAGATGAGAGTGAATTAGATGAAGAAGACAAAGTGGAAGATGATGTTGCTCAAACAGCCAAGAGAACTAAAAGTAAGGAATCTAAGAAAACTTCTAATGGGAAGAAGAGAAAATCTAACACAAAAACTGTTAAACAAAGAGTGAATCCCTTACTTGCCCAGTTAGGAAACCAGGATGAATGTGGAAGTGATCAAGTCAATGCCATAGACTCTACAGAAGATAAAGCTGAAGGAAAAGATCAGAAGAAGGAAGAGGACCTTTGGGCTAATTTTTTAGCTGACACTGAAGAGGTTCCTAAACCTGAGCCTCCTGTTAAGCCCAAAAAGAAGAGCTGGGCTGAATTACTTGGAAATAAGAAGGCAAAATCTTCAAGTAACAGTAATTGTCCTACTAGTAAGAAATAAGTGCCACTATCACACTCATAAATAATGTCATATTGGTTTCTCTTATTTATGCCATGTTCACATGCTTCATTTTGGATGAATTTTCTCCATCTAACCTATATGCCCTTCATGTAAAATGAACTTTCCTTAATTTTTCTGTCTTGACACGCATATTGAGCTCTTAGAATAAAAGTAGTTTTACTGATTTTAAATTCATTGAAATGTTCAACTAATATAAAGATACTCAATGGACTTCATGATGGTCTGATTGGGATATAATTCATGACGAATAACTTGACAATTTTGCATTGAATATTTTACAGATGATTCTGAGACTCCTAAGAGCTCCAGCTCATTGTCAGGGCAAGTGTCAGCTCCAGCCAAGGCTGCAGTATCTGAACCCAAAGTTCCAGCCACTGTAAAAGTCACCAAAATATTTGAATTTGCTGGTGAAGAAGTGAGGTGTGTACATTTACTCTGAATTTTGTGCCATATACCTAGCATTTATTTGCATATATTTGAATGTTTTTATTGAATTTCTTTCTTGCCATGCTTTTCTGGTTTCAGAATAAGTCGTATAAGAAAATTAAAAGCCTTGTTTTTCTAATCAGCTCCTAATTGTTAGAAATTCATATGTATATATAACGTATTCTAAAATTGGCTGCCATAAAAATTCTGCCAGAGTCATCAAATACCTAATGTTATTTTGATTGTTGGCCTTTTTCTGAAAATTATATGTGCAGAGAAGTTGTTCAGATTTCTCTCTCTAAAGTGAAAAAAATTGAAATCAGATAATTCAACTGAAATAAATGAAAAGTTTCAATGATTAGGTTTTTCAAACAGCATTATTCTAATCTTACACTTAGTTATTAGGTCTCAGTCTTACATAACTGACTCCAAAACGTGATTGACAACCCAATAACAATAGGCAATACAATAGACAATCCAATGACAATAAGCATCCAAATCACAGATTTGAAGACAATTGCTCCTTATTAATTACTAGTTCGGTTCCAGTGATTGCACTGATGAAAATCAAGTGCCATATGATCCTGTTTTTTCTCCCTGATGTTCTGTGGGAACTGGGAACCTTTGCGTAATTCTCAAAAGATGCATCTCATGGGCAGAGTGGAGGAGGAAGTTGCTGCAAATTCAAAGGAGGCAATGCTTGCTCCTTCAGCAGCAGCCAGCTCAGGTTATAAATATTTTTCATATAATTTTGAATTGTGAAAAGTGAGAAGATTGTTTACATTAATGCAAAATTTTGATTTGGTTGTTGGGATGGATAAAAGAATTCATTTTGATTTATAAATGAGAATATAATTGTGTAATTTAAAGTTATCTGAATTTAAATCAGGATTAGAATGAAGTTTCTCAGTACAGCTTCAGTTCTGCTAATGTTTCTTGTACCCTTACTAGTTCTCCTGAAACCATAATGCTAATCATTTAAAGAAAATATTGTAAAATTTTACTCGTGTCCAAGCCTTGGGTTGAAATCATGATTTTTTTTCAGGATGCATAGGAAGCAAGCGTAGCAGTAATCTGAGTGCTCTGGTGAACTCACTGGGCAACAAGAAGCAGAAGTTGAGCACACTTGAAAAGACCAAGCTGGACTGGCAGAGCTACAAGACTGAGCAGGGTCTTACCGACGAGCTGCTGCTGCACACAAAGAGCAAAGACACGTGGGTTGCCTAGACTTGTTGAGCTGATGACAAAAGATGCGTGGGTTGCCCAGACTTGTTGAGCTGATGACAAAAGATGCGTGGGTTGCCCAGACTTGTTGAGCTGCTGACAAAAGATGCATGGGTTGCCCAGACTTGTTGAACTGATGAGATAAGATGCATGGGTTGCCCAGACTCGTTGAGCTGATGACAAAAGATGCATGGGTTGCCCAGACTTGTTGAGCTGATGACAAAAGATGCGTGGGTTGCCCAGACTTGTTGAGCTGATGAGATAGGATGCATGGATTGCCCAGACTCGTTGAGCTGATGACAAAAGATGCGTGGGTTGCCCAGACTTGTTGAGCTGATGAGATAAGATGCATGGGCTGCCCAGACTCGTTGAGCTGATGACAAAAGATGCATGGGCTGCCCAAACTTGTTGAGCTGATGAGATAGGATGCATGAATTGCCCAGACTCGTTGAGCTGATGACAAAAGATGCATGGGTTGCCCAGACTTGTTGAGCTGCTGACAAAAGATGCATGGGCTGCCCAAACTTGTTGAGCTGATGAGATAGGATGCATGAATTGCCCAGACTCGTTGAGCTGATGACAAAAGATGCATGGGTTGCCCAGACTTGTTGAGCTGCTGACAAAAGATGCGTGGGTTGCCCAGACTTATTGAGCAGACAAAAATGGATACAAAAAGATGTGACAATACATTCTAGTCTGTGGCTTGTTTCCAACGTATGTACGTCTTATTGTATGTTGTATAATTATATCTGTGTAGTATGTAAGGGTCTGTGCTGGTGAAGAAGGTTTTGGGTGGGAACTTTGAGAGGAATTTGAGGTTTTTAAAACTCGTTGAAATTCGTATTTTAAGAAGGCAAACATTAGTCTTATCTAATTAGAAGGCTATTTAAGTGTCTAGTTGCCGTGACAATGATGATGTTATTTGTGGCATCGCTAGGCCACACTTTGAGTTCTGCAACGCTGCATGGTCACCCAGACTTAGCGATATCCAGAAATTTCTGAAGGAGTCAACTCAAGAAGAGTTACTCGAATCATCCTAGGATTTAAGGATGTGGCTTATGAGCAGCCTCTGGATAGGACGAAGATTACCTTCTAGTACACAGACAAGAGAATTTGTGGCGACCTCATGGAGATCACCAAGTAAACCCATGTCCATAACCGGAACGCGAACGTGTCTACAGTGGATACTGAAAGGGTCGTCTGAGGCCATCAGTTTGAAATGAGGACATCAAAAAAGGTGTAATGCTACTTAGTGGAGCGGTCTGCCAGCTCAGATTGTCGAGGCTGCAACCATGAACGCTCTCATGATAGACTTGAATCGGTTATACTTTGGTATATATTTAGTACATACCAACCATTAGTGGCATATACCAACGGACAATAAGTAATTTTGTGAAATTTTGGACATGGGCTGTGACCTCACGCTGTATTTTAGCAACTTGTAAGTCAATCACGTGATACTGAAGGACCCTGATCATAAGCGCCTACGCATGCTGTGTTATTTATGACTTCTACATATTATTTTCTATTTATTTCGTAGCGTTTAGGTGATCAGAAAATAAGATGGATTGACTGGATAGATTCGGTATTCCGTGGTTATCGTTCGATTTTTCATTTGATCATAAGTACCTATGTCATGAACTTTGAATATGGGAGGATTCTCCCATATTCACGTCCAGGATCTTCTGGCAGGATCCTCCGACCATGAATTAAACAAACCTACTGAGCAAATATTACGTAGGCATTCCGATCATATTAGATGTTTTAAAATATTATGTACGCCCACACCTTTTTGCTCATGAAGATATTAAGTTAGTTATTTATTACTTCACGAAAAGGATCATTGCCTATCACTTGAATAATCTGGCAACAATTCGCAACCGTTTCCACTAGTTAACTACTGGACCATCAAAACTATTCGTACCTAAAGGCCTCTTGCAAAATTACCGTTGCCAAAGTAAAAATGTTATGATGGTGATTAACTGTGCTATGATTGTGTTGTGATTGTGATGTGATTATCTGTGTTGTGATTGTGATGTGATAATCTGTGTTGTGATTGTGATATGATCAACTGTGATGTGATCAACTATGTTATAACTAACTGTATATGAATAAACTATGATGTTATTAACTTTAGTGGAATAAACTATGATGTTATTAACTTTACTGGAATATACTATGATGTTATTAACTGCAATGGAATAAACTATGATGTTATTAACTTTACTGGAATAAACTATGATGTTATTAACTTTATTGGAATAAACTATGATGTTATTAACTTTACTGGAATAAACTATGCTATGACTAACTTGAATAAATGATCACCAGGTACCTGGACAAGCAAGAGTTCCTGCAGCGCGCTGACGTGCGTCAGTTTGAGCTGGAGCGCGACGTGCGTCTGGGCGTCCGCCGCAACAACAGATAATTCCTTCACTCCTCGTGCCGAGGCTGCTAATAATCTACCTTACGACATGCTGATCAAGCTTATAATTAATGATCTGATAATAAAAAAGCTAGGTTGTGTTGGAGAAAAACTTGGAAAACCATTACTTTCGGATACAGAAAAGCTGGATTCGTTCAATTAAACATGGAAAAGCATTGTTCTCGGATACAGAAAAGCTGGATTCTTTTAATTCAACATGGAAAACCATTACACTTTACCAAACAATTTCATATACCAAGCTGGAAGTGCCAATAGCCAAGATAGATATAATGGACCTGAGAGAAAACATCAGCGGCTGGCAGCGTTCTTCTTGAAGCTCAGACTTTTTCCCCTCAAGGAGATGCAAGAAGAAAAGAGTAATTTTTGGTGCCAATCCATAGTTATAATGTTTCTTTTGTGTTCCATTCCATCAATTTGTGCTGTAGGTTAAGGCAGTTCAAGGGGAACTATTGCATTTAAATAACGCGTGATCCAAAGGCTCTCTCCAGTTAAATTAAAATGTTAAAATTTCTGACCAAAATTTAGCTCTATTCACGGCACTTGTGTAATTTCATCTTATTGAAGTCAAGTCCAAATTTTTACCGATTGCCATTCAATGAGAACTTTGACGTTGCTGTTTCAGATAGAAGTATTATTCTTCTTTTAGTTACGCCTTGTTAATGCTAAATATTGCTTCTTATATACGTAAGATCTCGCTTAGAAATTAATCCATCCTCTGATGTTGCATTAATCCTCTGATGTTGCCAGAAGGCAACTAACAACAGCGCAAATGTTGTCTTCCTCATAGATCATCTTACATTTGTAAATGACTACGATTTACGTTGATTTCATAATATTCTTCACGATAAATTGCATTAACTCCAGATGAACAAGTAACAAGTGAACATTCCTGTTTTTTTTCGGGTGTGTGTACGTTGATTTCGATGTTGAGGTGACGCAGGTATCTCAGTGAGATTTATTGACCGTCTTCTGAGAAGGCCATTTCAATTATCAGTAAATTTTCTAGTAGTTGAGTGCATTTTATTGTGCGGGATCGTAGTATGTTGAATTCGTTAGGAAGTCATGTTCTCTATTATATGCAGTATGCACCCATAAATTCTATGGAGTCAATAGTGCAATGTTATCAACTGGGCCTTGATGTGTTACAAATATAATGATAATGGTGTAGTGGTGATGATGAATAAATTTTTGCTTTTTAATTAATCGAAATCATGCAGCAGAGACTTGAGGCATGGGAATGCTAACCTGCACAGGCAATTGTTTGTGATAAGAAGAGAACTACTGCGACAACAGCTGCATGCCTCCATAGTAATGTACGTATTGGCTACGTGCAATCCGGTCGACTTGTGTACAGTCGAGCCACGTATGTACGTTCTGGTTACGTATGGTACAGTCCAGTCGACGTGTGTACAGTCGTGTCACGTATTGTACAGTCCAGTTGACGTGTGTACAGTTTTTTCACGTATTTACGTTTTTGTTACGTATGGTACTGTCCAGTCGACGTGTGTACAGTCGTGTTACGTATGGTACAGTCCAGTCGACGCGTGTACAGTCGTGCCACGTATGTACGTTCTGGTTACGTATGGTACAGTCCAGTTGACGTGTACAGTCGTGTCACGTATGTACGTTTTGGTTACGTACGGTACAGTCCAGTCGACGTCCGTACAGTCGTGTCACGTATGTACGTTTTGGTTACGTATGGTACAGTCCAGTCGACGTCCGTACAGTCGTGTCACGTATGTACGTGTTGGTTACGTACGGTACAGTCCAGTCGACGTGTGTACAGTCATGCCTCGTGTGTACGTTTTGGCTACCTACACCACAGGCGGCGTTTATGCTTCAGTTAAAAAGTGAATTCGTTGAAGGTAATAACGTTCGTATATGAAGCACGAAATGACTTCGTATTTTTAATAGAACAGTTCATTCCGAAACCAAATGAAATGATCGAATCACTGAAAAACGCACAAATAATTATAAAAAAATATATTTCTACATCAAAAAGATACACCAGCATCGACATAAGACGATTTAGTCACTTCCACACACTACATACAATACATACGTACGGCTGCCTAGCCAGTCCAGAGCCCATACTTTAAAAAAAAGTAAGAGATCGTAAGTTCATCAGCCAATCATTGACAGCCTTTCAAGCAAAATCCACCAATCGTAGACAAGAAAATAGAGCGTAAGTACTTCCGTTCATTTAGCGAGTTTTGAAAGTATGGCCCCCAGGAAACTTGAGATTTTCCCTCAGTTCGTTTCGTATTGCGCAACCGAACTCATTTCGCTGCATGAGTTTTGGTCGTCACGTCGAGATCGACGGAAATTTATTCCTTCAGCGTTGTTTTACTGCAGCAACATTGTACCTTTAAAATGTATCGTAGCGCCAGTTCTAAGTCAGTTGTAACGATGAATCGCAGTGTCAGTTCTACGACAGTTGTAACGATGAATCGTAGTGTCAGTTCTACGACTGTTGTAACGTTGAATCGCAGCGTCAGTTCTACGACAATTGTAACGTTGAATCGTAGCGCCTGTACTATGTCAGTTGTAACGACGAATCGTAGCGCCAATTCTACGTCAGCTGTAACACTGAATAGCTTAGTGCTTCATTGAACGTGCGCAAAGCGTTAAATTTTTACGAATCGATCATTCATCGATAAAGTCAAGGCTTAAAATCACCGAGAGCAGGTCTTTAAAGTAGCAGGATTGAGTTTGTAAAGCGACTCAAGCGATCCATCATAGCATAATTCGGTGAGCCAATAAGCTACTTGACAAAGCTCTATTTGCATTAAAACCTTAATCTTTACATGCCATCTCCGGCTCTATTATGCAAGTTCATCCATGCCCTTCGCTTTTAGAGCCTGCGATCAGAAGTCCTGTAAGAGAAACCCGTTTGCAGTTCACTTATCTGACTGACGTCTCACCCAAATGGGTCCCATGAGCGAATGTTGTGCCAGGTCGTTCTGCGACACAAAGGAGATTTTTCCGTGTATTCCAGCGTGTCGCTTTTAGTCGGCACCTAATTCAATAAACGGACCGAATCTCCCTTCAATGGAGCCACGACTCGGTTTGTATAAGCCCGAACAAAATGACTACCCATCCCGTCTGTTATATTCAGCAGCGGCCAAGTCCGGTCCCAGTGACTGGCAGCGCTCGTACACTTAATGGAGAAATGAAACTGGCTCTTATATTTAATGGAGAAATGGAAGCAGCTCTTATATTTGATGGAGAAATGGAAGCAGCTCATATATTTGATGGAGAAATGAAGGCCGAGTGGCCGAAGCATCGACTGCTCTCGCCGAATATCAGAGCCTCATATGGGGTCCAATTAAGTTAATATTTTGCTGGCTTGAAGCGCCCCGGGGGAATTTACATAGCGGTCATTGCTTCAGGCCAGATAAATATCGAGCCAACGACGCTGAGTTTCCATTGAAATGTCCCATCGAAAAGCCATCATTGATATTATAAAAATGTTACCAGAGCGGTCATTGAAGTGCAGATTTTCATCAAATATTTCATTGAATTAACGGTGGTATATATTACTGCTGCACTCATAAGTTCATCAGGTTAATTCATCATGCAGGGGACATTGAAATGACGATAGTAGTGTGGGGTTTATACAGATTATTATATGTCAGAAAATGAAGTGATTATACGATAATTTCCTAGCCTGCAGTATCTCAGCGTAGTATTAAAAATCCTGATTTTACTTGAACAGAAGAGGGCCGGTAGCTCTTTTGACATTTTCGGTTAGTTAATGTGACATGTCATTGGTTGAGTCAGCGAAGTCAGATGATAAAAAACTTGATGCATCAACGTAGTTGATACATTTATTTTTGTACGTAATCCTAATCTTCGTTTGTGAAATAATCGAGAAATGTAACTAAGACTTATTTCCGCTTCCGCGGTAGTTTTTCTAGCCGACGCAGGAATAACGTGCGCTCGATTCAGAATGAAATATTTTGAATAAAATAGACTCAATAAATACATTTACTTATACAAAATCATTGCAAAAATAACATTCCCCAACTCGTTGTCTAAAAGTTGATTATGATATTCACACGAATAAAATCCGATTTGAGCATCGGGAAGATTAAACATTTTAATTCTCACTTGTATTAGAATAGATAGACGGGAATTAAATTTCCCGATATCAGGATGTCCATTAAATATCTATAATTATTTTACGCCGTCGTCCTGCCAAGCAAAATGGCGTCCATCATGGCGACGGTCGTATAAAGAACATAGCGCAGCTTGACAGTCATGGGAGCGAGGCTCTTGAGCTTCCTTTCAGTTTGATGTTTTTATTTTGCGCCAGGCAATGAATGGGCCGGTCGATGCATGATTTATATCCTGTGCTAATACTGACACGGTGAGTGAGTGAGACGAAGCCATGCTATGATTGGCACCAACGATGCGGGGTGTGAACTTTGGTAACGCGGTGCATCTTAATGCAGTATGTTGTGCATCGAAATGTACTTCGTGGTGCATCAAAACTTGCTTCGTGGTGCATCAAAATGTACTTCGTGGTGCATCAAAATGTACTTCGCGGTGCATCAAAACGTACTTCATGGTGCTGAAAAACGTACTACGTGGTGCATCAAAACTTGTTTCGTGGTGCATTAAGAAGTACTTCGTGGTGCATCAAAACTTGCTTCGTGGTGAATACAAATCCACTTTGCGATGTATAGTTAGCCTTCATATGATATCTATAGTCCACGCTCATAACGTTGGCTGCAGGTCTAGTTCATGACTATCCCCACTGTTATCCATCACTCGCCGAGTTGTTGACTCCTCAGCTGGATTGGAGCCATGGATCGAGTTGCCAGCCAAACCCATTGAGGGATTTGTTGCCAAATTGGCGCGTAATGTGGGAATTTCCCTTGGCATTTCTCCCACACACTTCACTGCCTGACGGCACGTCGCTAGCTCTTCATTACCAACTCGGGACTAATTACCGATGCTTCCGCATTCCTAAACTATCGTAGGATGGAGTGGCGTCACTTACAGGACTAATTAATTACCGATGCTTCCGCCTTCCTAAACTATCGCAGGATGGAGTGGCGTCATTTAAAGGACTATAAATTACCGATGCTTCCGCATTCCTAAACTATCGTAGGATGGTGTGGCGTCACTTACAGGACTAATTACCGATGCTTCCGCATTCCTAAACTATCACCGGATGGAGTGGCGTCACTTACAGGACTAATTACCGATGCTTTCGCATTCCTAAACTATCGTAGGATGGAGTGGTGTCACTTACCGGACTAATTACCGATGCTTCCGCATTCCTAAACTATCGTAGGATGGAGTGGCGTCACTTACAGGACTAATTACCGATGCTTCCGCATTCTTAAAATCTCAGTCGAGTCATCAATGGACATAGCTTGCAGCGCATTGCTCAAGAACGAGCAAAACGTTTAGATTGTAGCTATGCTTCGCAGTACGAGAAATCTCCAGCAAATATCACTAGAAAACAAATGAAGGCAGTTAATTTAAACAATATAACTATCAACTAATAACCATGTCTGCATTACGCTATAATTCAAATAAATAACCTTGTTTTCAATAACATCCACATAAGAGAGGACATCAATACGAGGACAAAGCTCTCACAAAACCCTCATGATGGCCTTCAATAACATCGTCAATAACGTCAGTACAATTATTCGCGCTCGACCAGGCCTTGTGATCCGACGCGCTGTTCAATGACGCGCTCCACTTCATCTACGACGAGCACCAACGCAGCGGCCGCTGCTTGACTTTCCTATGGGAAAATTGGGTAGTAATTTGGCCACTCTACATGCTGTCGCTATACATGCTGCCACTCTACATGCTGTCACTCTACATGCTGCCACTCTACATGCTGCCACTCTACATGCTGCCACTCTACATGCTGCCACTCTACATACTGCCACTCTACATGCTCCCACTCTACATGCTGCCACTCTACATGCTGCCACTCTACATGCCGCCACTCTACATGCCGCCACTCTACATGCTGCCACTCT